TGCATGAATAATTATGTGTTATCATCGAGTGTTCTAATTTTTTTTTCTGTAGTTTCAAGAAGTACACGTTTGAAAATGTTATTTCAACGGATCAGACAAGAACTACTTGAATTTAATCTGTTTATAAGTATTCCACGTTCAACAGATGAAACTATTCTTCGACGACAACATCATACAACACGCTTATATTTAGTTTTGTTATTGGTAACTTCAATTACTATGATTTTTTATACGTTTCTTGAATATATTACAATCAGTAAGACTATTGAATCTCCATCGTTAGAAATTTTTGCTCGACTGAGAAAGGAATATCCATTGACACTTGATTGTCCATGTAGTCGAACTTCATTCGAATATAAACAATTTTTTTCTGATATCGAAGTTGAATACCATGAAATCTGTTCATCTGAATTCACTACTCCTCGTTGGATCCAACTTCAATTTAATGAATCTTCCATGGACGTAATTTTCATCAATGATGTTCGTTTTCAATCTCAAATGCATTTTCAGCTTTTATCTACACTTTGTCGTGTAGCTAAACAAACTATCGAAGATAACACTCAGTCATTTTATCGAACAAAATTGATTACTCCTAAAGTTAATGATAATTTTTCTTTTCAAATCGAATCTAATTTAATTCTTGAACAATTCAGAAGAACAGTACCAGAGTCATATCAACGCACATTACAACTAATAGAAGCAAATACTGAAATTAATCAATTGATTGTACCACTCAATTCTATTTTTCGATCTCGAATGGATGTTCACAACAAAGAAGTTTTTCGCTTAGAACCTGAGGTAAATGCTCGGCACGATCGTCCTGTATGTACATTCACCGAAAAATGCGAATGTTTCTTTTTGTTTCCCGGCGAATGTGTTCTAGAAACAGTTGTTGTAGAAGAAGACTTCTCCCGCAAAACTATTCCAGGAATGAGACTAACAGTATCTCCTATTCGCTCTGTTTTAATATCAACATTAGAATGTTTCTACAATGAAACATGTCTATCTGAGATTACACGTAAAATTAATTCTCTAGTTTCACCAACAAATTTTTCAACACTTCGTTTATCATCGTTAGTAATGAACGAAAGTCAAAATGATACAATCGATATGTTGGCAAAGAAACTTTTTATTCAATCATGGTCTAATCAAACTAGTTCATATGAATCTTATTTTAATCAATGTCATCCTTTATCTTGTCAATATTCATATCTAAGTCGATATAATATAATCGATGCTGTTACAAGAATTATTGGAACATTGAGCACTCTTAATTTTCCTCTAGCATTATTAGTACCGTATCTCATCAAACTATCATCTTATATTTGGGCTAAAATCAAATCTCGGCGACAAAATACAATCAGACCATCTGTAGAAACGGTCTCTACCAGAAGAGGTAAATAAATCAGTCCGAATTTCTCTCATCTGTGAATATACTAACTGCATACTGTACTAATATTTTATTATGACTAAAAAACATTGTTTTCTCCATGTACACCTTCTAAGCATAAGCACCTATATCCATCGCACATTTGTAAAAACACACCTTTAACTATATCCACTCGTTCTTGACAATATCATGATCCACAGTCGGACACTACATCCAGTTTAAAACCATCATGACCCACTCTAGGGTAGCCAAATCCAAATTTTGAAAAATAGAAATTTCTCACCAAAAACAGGAGTTGGCCCGGAGACTTCTATTGAATAACCAAGAGCAAAAGCAGAAGGTTTTCATCGACATGAGAAAACTATTTCACTGTCTAATTTCAAAGAAAAATTGAAATTATCATACACACAAGAGGTTGGTTAGTACTTTTTGCTACTAAGTTCGTGATGGCCAAACACACGAAAACGAAGCTTTATAAAGTGCAAAGAAATGGAGTATAAAACAAAGTTCATATCATCTGAATAAACATAGATACAACTTTTATCTGTTAGATCATGATCTACGTATAATTAAATGGTAGTTTTGCAACTGAAAATCGTTTACTATGTATTAGAAAGAAAACGTAGATTTCTGCTGCGAAGTGTACATCGTATACTTGCCTTTTTGGAATAAAGCAGTGTTTTGTCTAGCAGATAAGTGTGGGTATGAGTGAAATAGAACACTCATACCCTCGCGATATGATTCATTTTCATGTTTTCTGAATGAAATTTTTCTTTTTAGTCATTTATGATCGTCTCTGTGTTTCATTTCAATATATCAAAAGGAGTATTGTTGAATTCAATATCTTTCCTGTAATTCCCTCTTCACAAACCCTAAATAATCTTTGTAGAAATCGACGATTAACTCGAATTTATTTCACTTTGTTACTTATATCTTTATTAATCCTTGTTGTTTATACATCGTTAACAAAAGAAACAATACCAGTTACTATTGAATCTCCATCTATACCAAAATATTTGGAATTATATAATCAATATCCATTAACATTTCAATGTTCCTACAGTAATCTCTCGGTGAAATATGAAAAATTTATCATACAGATCGAATATCAACGTCATCCAATTTGTTCGAGCGAGTTTTTTTCTTCCGATCGATATGATACTGTATTGAGTAAGGATGATAACTACGACGGTATTAATAAGAAGAAAAAGAGCACTCCGGCTTTTAACGAGGGCGATTTTCGTGCTTGGATTCAATCCCAAATGAAGCTGGTCTCAGACATGTGTTCACTATCTGAAAATCTTCTAAATGCATCCTTATCAGTATGGCTACGAAGAGATTTCGTAACAGCACGTGTGATCACTCGTGATGAATTTCATGTTCAAATCAATGGATTAATTGAAGAATTTAAGAGAACAATAAGCAATGAACTGATTTTGTTATTCAAATTAATGCAAGTAACAAATCTTGCAAATCAACTAGCAACAACTGAATCATCCAACTGGGAATTCATTGTCAATCCCATCTATAATGTTTCTTCAATTAATTACATCGGTTCAGTAAATCCAAAGATTTATCAGGATCAACTGTATGCTTTAACCTTGCCACGAACATATAATAAGGAGAATTGTTCGTGTGTATCGCAGTCAAATTGCAACAAATTCTCGACTTTTCCTTATGTGGTATCGAATCAATTGATGAACCAAACTCTTCCAAGCTTTCTCAGGGGATGTTTACCGCTCGATGCGATGTTACAATCGAGTTTTTCTTGTTTTTATAATCAAACATGTTTATCTCTACTACAGACATTGATTTACTATGCGAAACCTTTTCCAATTAAAACATTGATTCCATCGTCATCATCTTCTTCTAATCGAACAGTGGAATCGATCCTTGCTGAATTTTTTGTCGAAGAATGGGTTCCGAATGTCTCGTTTGATCGCTATTATGAAGAACGTGCTCCTAAACTCTGTCAATATTCTCATTCAGCGCCATTTAATGGGATCTATTTTTTAACTAAGACATTATCAATTTTGGGTGGTTTATCAAAAATACTACGGTATATTGTGTCTTTTATAGCAATGATAGTCATCAAATTAATTAATCGGAGAAGGAAAAGAAGAGTAGCACCATATCCAACTATGGTTGGGCCCAATACAGATGATGTCACTCTCAATACTATTCCGAATGTTCCCATAACAACACTCGAGGTAGTTTTCTTTGGTTTTTTTTGCCATTAGTTGACTTTCTATTCTATTTACTCATCTTTTTCAGATCAATGCCGATCCAATTCAAGAGCAAATCGAACCGTAAGTGATAAAATTACATGAAATTTTTCTTTTGATGCACATATTTATTATTATAGAAGATCTAATAATCGAACTGATCGAATAATTGCAATCTGTCTATGTCTATTAGTTATAGTTACAATAGTTGTAGCTTCAGTCATCTCGACAGGAAAAAGAGATACGAAATATATATCAATAACTACATTAATCGCCACTTTAATAACTACTACAGAAATAACAGAATCAACTACAACATCAACAGGTAAGCATACAAGTGTTGAAAAACATCTTGAGGGTTGTAGGATTGCTAATTTGTTTTTAGAAATTTGTTATATGACTTTGATATATCAATCTAAAACTTATCCAATTGGTCTTGATGCCAATTCATTTATTCTTGGTGATCTAAATGGCGATTCATTTTTAGATTTAGCGGTGACAAATTATGGAAATGACACATTTAGCATATCATTTGGAGATGAAAATGGAGCATTCCAACCACAACAAGTTTATTCAACCGGTTATGAAAGTTATCCTTGGGGAATAGCATCCGGCCATTTCAACAATGATACATTTTTAGACATAGGTAAATATGTCTCTGTATTATTAAACCTATCTACATAGTTCAGTAATTCCTCAAAGAGTATTATGAGAATTTACGGTAGTAATCCTCAGGAAAGACACCGTGTTCGATCGGTTCCAAGACAAATCTAGTGTCCGGATTCGTTCATGAGAATACTACTTCTATGTTTCGTCATTTCCCGATATTTTTCTGTGGAATTTGGCTTGTGCTTCTCGATTTGGTCATATGAGTGACAGAGTCCTGTAAGATGTGATCTCAGACATGAAGTATGTGAATGCAAGTGACTGAAGGTGAATTCGAAGGATAAACTTCTAGTCATTTTTTACTTGTAATCATATCCTCACCTGCACACATCTATAATAAGATTGTCACTGTCACTCTCGTCCTTATGGCACGAGAAAGCGAATGTTCAAATAATGAGTTTTTCGAGAATCTAGAGAAAATTATCTATGAATCCGACATCATCAATATATATCCCGATAAGCAATACTCTTTTTTAATATTTTAAGGACAATATCTATATGAAATGATATTAATGATAAAGACATTTATGATCAGAAATGAAAGCGATTTGAAGAAATATAATAACTACTATCGTTTTTTTTCTTATTAAGCTCTTTGAAATGGAATATTTTTGTCAAAAAGTATTCAGATCATTAATGTATTTAATATCGATAATTGTTTTCATAATATAGTTAAAAATGTTCTGCTATGTCAACGTGTAGATGATAAGACTATTTAAATCTAGAAAACTATGCATTTCTCATTCAAAACTTCTCGAACT